AAAAAAAAAAAAACGGATGCCGCGGCCCTCGCCACTGCGGGCGCCCCAACGCACACCTCGGCGCCTGAGTTCCTGCTGCCTGCCGCCCCGCCCGCAGCAGCAATGCGTCTGCCTCTCTGTCTGTTGGGGCGGCGGCGGGCACACAAGCAGGGACGAAGGGCAAACACAACGAAAAGAAACACACGCACACAACAACGACAACAACAGCGGAAACAAAGAAATAAAAGACGGCCCGCCCGTGAGGAAACGAAGCACACAGGTGAACGGCAACAAGAGCCGAAATACAACATATGTTCATGCAATTGTGCGTCGGTGTGCGTGCTGCGGGGGAAGAACAAAGAAAACCACAAAAAAAAAAGAGAGAGTGCGAGGACCGCTCCTTTTCGTTGTCTGCAGCGCCAGGGACAGCCACGTGTGAGCGATACAAGCAAACAGATGAAGGTATAAAACTCATAGCGTCGTCGCACCGCCTCACCAACCTTCCTCGTCTCCTCCCGCCCCCATCTCTCTTCTCGCTCTCTTCCTCCCTCCTCACCCCACCCCTCTTCCTCTTCCTAGAGTGTTACAACCATCCTTTCATTGCTCTCACGCCACACCATCCCTCAGCATGGTCAATACGATGACACGGCCGTCATGGTGTGCGCCATCAGCTCCTCCATTCCCTCTTCGAGCGCCTCCGCAAGTTTGTTGCCGTACTCCCACAATTCGTCGCTGAGTGACGCCACATCGATGCGCTCAGCTTGCTGTGGTAGTGGGACGATCCACTCGTACTCCAACCGCTCACCCTCATCGCCAGCCTTTGTGATGATGAGCGGAGTGCGCTTTGTCTCCACAAGCTGCAGCGTAACCCCAGTGGTGGTGCGCATCGCCCACTTGCGTACGACACGTTCGCAGCAGTACACCACGTCGCCCAGCTCCGGCGACAGCACCGACTGAACAGAGTCGCGTGTGCTGCGGAGGATATCGGCCTCCAAGTACGCATCCGCCACCCGCTTCTTGATTGGGTGGCGTGCGCGCACAACGTAACGCAGATCCGGCATCTTGCTACGAACGTAGTGCGATACGAGGAAACGGTCCCATGGCTTGTTGAACATCGTGCACTTCATCTGCCCGTTGAGCTCGCAGTCGAACTGCTCCCCCATGCGGCGGATGGTGACCTTGTAGCTTGTTGTCGGCTCCTGCACGAGACTCATACCAAGCTTCGCGGCAAGCCCCTCCATCGCCGTCACATTTGACTCGCTCGCAATAGCAAACCAGACGTAAGGGTGCTGCGCATACAAGTGTCGCTGCAGCGTCCAGAGCGGCATCACGTTGCGGTTATGCTTGGCTACATGACGGTAATAGAGGGCCTTTCCAGCCCCGATGTTCAGCTCACCTGGCATGTTCATATTCCAAATGTTCATGAGACACCACTCGAAGGCGCTGCGGAAATGCATCTTGTTTGCCTCATTCGGGCTGACGTCGACGGGCGTCAGCGCACTCTTCACCTTGCTCTGCCCCGGCAGCCGGCTCGGGTCAATGGCGGCGATGCCAACGTCGCCAGTGGTGTCGCTGTGCATCAGCTGGAAGGAGCGCGGCGACAGCGGGTCGTAGCGCTCGCCCATGCGACCCGGGCTGAGCTCCATGAAGTCGAGCTCACGCCTGTCCTCGAAGCCCGGCTCGGCGCCCCAGTCGCCGTACTCGTCGGCCTCCTCCAGTGCCTCCTCCGCACGGTCGTAGTCGGTGATGACGACGGCGTGCGGGTTGTCCTCCTGCTGCACCGTCACGCTGGCCTGCTCGGCGGAGAGGATCTCCTCCACCTGCCGCACCAGTGCGCTCTTCTTGGCGCGCGCGTCGACGTTAGCGACCTTGCAGTGCTCCTGCAGAAAGAAGGCGAGCTCCGGCACGGAGAGGGAGAAGAGGTTGCCCTCGTTCCACAGGCCCCACACGGTGTTGTGTGTGACGTGCGAGAAGTCGCCGCGAGGGGCGGCAGACGCCTGGCGCCGGTAGCTGCAGAGCAGCGGGCCGACATGCCGCCGCAGCGCAGCGCCGCCCTTGAAGGAGACGTGGAGACGAGCACGCAGCATAAGATGTCAGATGTATAAACAAAGATATATGCGCCTGATCCCTCACCCTCACTTATATGGATTTTAGTACTGCTTCTCCTCTTTCTTTGTTTCTTTTTCTTTGTGTGTTTGGAGGGGTCTTTCTTCCTCTTTTTTTGTCTGTTTTATTTTTTTTCCTTCTTCCCTTGCGCGCGCGCGTGTGTGATTCTCTTTTTTTCTGTGATGGAGTGTTTCACTATGCCTCGCTCGTTCCTACGCGTGTGTTGCACCCGCTGCGAGG